CGATACCCATCAGTCTCAACTTATGCAGGAGATGTTGGTGTGGAACACTGTCTAAGGCCTTCCGGAAATCAATGTAGGCTGCATGTACGGTTTCTTTTGTTCCAATTTGCCCTTGTCAAGCTTTGCATCGTATAAAGCAAGTTTGTTACACATGACCTACCTACCCCTATGAAATAAAATAAATGAAAGCCTTGTGAATTATGTGTTGAACGTCAACATATTGTATATACTGACACATTATAGTAAAAAACATTCGGAAAAACATTGGGTACATGTCACTTATGAAAGGATGCCGAGAATAAGAAAGTTTCACATATCTCGGCTTTGCTTATATGACGAAAACATTTACATATAAATAAATGAATATGCCTAAAGATTCGAGGTCCAGACATCATACCATGTGATTTAATGAAAGTTTAACTCAACGGCACAAATGGTCCCTGATGTTTGTTTGTATGTATCAAATACATCCCGAAGGTGGTAGTAGTTTCGATTCTTGCGACGGCTCCTTCGTGTACGTGTTTGTGCTGCATTGTTTTCCTTTGCCTGGGCTTTTCGTTTACTGTTAACGGATTTGTTCTCATCGTCCTTTACGTGTGTTGTCTTTTTATTTGGGCGCTGAGCTATCTTCACCCAAAGTATAAACGCGGCAGCGGTTGCTCCAAAGTCACGGACCGGTAGCTTTCAAGGGGGCTGCCGTCTCCGCCAATCAAAATGGTTTCCTGTTATTCAGCCACAGCTTTTCGTTGCGGTTGCTCAATAGTCCCTAGATTTTGTTATTATAATAGCAAATCCAAGCAAATGCAGTGAATATCCAGCGTTGAACAGCAGAGGGCACTTTGCTTGTGATAGCTCCCCTTTTTCCACCGGTACGCGACGGCCGCGACCTAGTAGTTACCGTTGCCCGCAACCCCCTGGCAAATGTTGCCGGGCTATCATTGTAATCGTGCACTGCTAGCCTCTATGACTGTTATTTTGTTAGTCCGTTGGCTTAGCACATCAGTCCAACCTCACAAGTGACTTCGAACGCGGCAGATGTGCTGGGAAGCTGCGTAGACGTTCTACGGTCTGATAACGGTAATGTACGAACACTGGACTGCTGCGTACTTTGGTAGTTCCACCAGTAAATGATGTATTAGCGCATATTTCACCAACAAATAATTAGTTGCCCGCTCAGCAAAATTGAAACAGCTAGTACGTTAATCTGTCTAGTGAGCTGTCAGCAGGACTCTGGGCGGATGTTGTTAGTGGGCATATTCTGAGAAGAATTATAGTGTCGGTAACACTCATGTTTTAGCCTG